ACCCCTATTGCTGACATTCATATCTGGGATGTGACTTCTAACAGGACTGAAGATTTCTGCATTAGGGGCTTGCCATTGTCTGAGGCTGATTAGGTCGATGGCTATTATATCCTCCTTGTGTAAAAGACAATAAATCATTCTTTAATGTATTTAATTCACTTTGAAATTTGATAATGTTTCCCATTTGTACTTCTTGCCACTGTTGTTGACTTTCCTGTAGTTGCTGCTGACTTTTCTGCAACTGTTGGAGACTTTCTTCCTGTTTCCTTTCTTGTTCCAGTTACCACTGCTGTAATCTCTCTTCTTGTTTCTTTTCTCGTACTTCTTGTTTCTTTTCTTTTTCCTCCAACAGCTGCTATAATCTCTCTTCTTGTTTCCTTTCTCGTTCTTCTTGTTTCTTTTCTTTTTCCTCCAACAGCTGCTATAATCTCTCTTCTTGTTTCCTTTCTCGTTCTTCTTGTTTCTTTTCTTTTTCCTCCAACAGCTGCTATAATCTCTCTTCTTGTTCCTTTTCTCGTTCTTCTTGTTTCTTTTCTTTTTCCTCCAACAGCTGCTATAATCTCTCTTCTTGTTTCTTTTCTCGTTCTTCTTGTTTCTTTTGCTGCTCTTGTATTGCTGCCATCAAATCTGCTAAGCTGTAGTTTGATTTGCCGCTTCTCGTTTCCATTTTTTTTTGTCCCACTCTCTGACACCAATTTGTTACGCCTCTGTGTTCGTTTGTTATTTTTCTGTATAAATTCTTTCCGAGAAATTTCAGCCGATACAAGTCCTCTCTTAAATAAAACTAGTTTATTCTTTCTCAATTCAACTTTGCAATACACTTAATTTCCACAGTCACTTTAACTTAAACACACGCTAGAATTCACAACGATTCACGCACTTTACTTATGGTCACTACCGTGTTTGAATCAATTATCTGTCTCTCTATATCTCTCTGTCTGCAATTCAATTCTCCCTTTCGTCACTTCTTGCCGGTCATATATATACAAAATAGAGGGCGTCTGGTAAACACTCGAGCCTTCACGAACGTTCTAGATACTCATTACGTGTTACCAGCGCCACGTGAATTCCGCTGTCGTCATAGCGCCAAAAATGCTCACCCTTTCAGCTGTGGGGGCATTATAACGTGATAGTCAATCATATTCTTCTTTGATTAAGAATATCTGACGTGTTGGCGTGGTTGCATTTATATGGTTGGTAGTTCAATATTAGGGAAAGCGGCCGATAACATTAGTAGCTTTCACATGAAGAAACTTCATTGTTTTGCTATAATGAAGTAATTTAGTGGGCATCTAGGTAAGTAATCTATCACTGTTACTCATACTCTGTCAGTCCCCCAGTGGTACAGAGGTATGTCTGCGGACGTACAACGCTAAAAACCTGGTTTCGATACCCGTGGTGGGCAGAGCACAAATAGCCCTTTGTGTGTAATAACAAACAAACTACTCTATCGTAGTACCTCGACAACGTAAAGTACTTTGGTTGGTATACTGGTTATGTCATTCTAAAGTTGAAGTCACTATCTAAGAAGTGTTTTTATCTTTTAGTTGAAATTTAGTTTTAACACTCTTAGAATATGGCCCGGTATGGCCAGGTGGTTAGGGCACTCGACTCGCAATCTGCGGGTTTGAATCCCCGTCACACCAAACATGCTCGCCCTTATAATGTGACAGTCAA